GCGGAGGCTCCACTGGGTACCAGGAGGGAACGACCCAGTGAAGCCAGGTGGGCGGCGCAGCCAGATCTCCTCGTGCAGGCTGCCCTGCAAGAAAGTTGTGCTGAAGTCAAGCGAGTGAAGCTCGTAGTCACGCTGAGCGGCAACGTGCAGCAGTACCCGAAGAGTGGTCATCTTCGGAGTGGGGGAGAAGGTCTGGAAGAAGTCAACCCCCTCTCGCTGACTGAAGCCTCGAGCCACGTAACGCGCCTTGAAGACAGGCGGAGAACCCGGCGGCCGCTTCACCCTGAAAATCCACATGCCACTGACGATGTTCGCCCCAGGAGGGGGAACCTCGTCGACGTAGGTGCCTGTGGACTTCCAGGATGCCATCTCTGCGTCCATGGCTGCCTGCCACTGAGAGGAGTAGGGACCCGCGACCGCCTCAGCGTACGAGCGCGGGGTGGGGATGTCTAGTGCATCTGGGTCTCCCTCAGGGGCAAGCAGCATGGTCACGAGATGAGGCGCAGCGGCTGCAAGACACTCAAGGTCCTCGTGCCTGTCCTCAAGGACGTCCGTGCTAAGAGCACACTCACCCCCGACGGACGGAGGACAGACAGACTCAGACTCAGCGACAAGACTAGCAGCGTAGTCTAGACGACAGGCAGCCGCAAAGTCAACAAGCTCAGCAACCAAAGCAGTCGCAGCAGCAGACTCAAACGAGGGGTCAGTAACAACAGTGGCGAGCAGACGCGTGACAGTAGGGTGCTCAGCACGAAACCGGTCAGAATCAGGGTCCGGAACGTGAGGCAAGGAAGACGCAGGAGGAGACGGCAGAGAAACAGACTGCGGAACAGAGGAAGGACGACGGACGACAAGGTGTGCAGTGGGGACAGGCGGCGAACGCGGACGCGGAACACGACGACCGGTATGACTAGGACGAACAGGCGAGACAGGACGCGACGCAGGCTCACGACGCTCAGCAAGACTACCTGTCTGCTCAGTGTAAGGAGAAGGAGCAGGCAGCGGTGAGCCAGGCTGTAACGGAAGACCAGTAGACGACGGGATTGTAAGAACTTGACGAAGAACAGAGTCAGGCGGCGGCAGAGACGACGGAGATGGCGGAGTGAAGAACAGTCGTGGCGGCGCAGCTGCACCAGTACCGGCAGCTCCAGCAGCTCCAGCAGCAGAACCGACACCTCCAGGCCCAGGGTCTCCAACCCCAGTGCCTCCAGCAGCAGCACCCCCAGAACCAGTACCTCCAGTCCCAGGGTCTCCAGCCTCCACGTCTCCAGCAGCAGCACCCCCAGAACCAGCACCTCCAGTCCCAGGGTCTCCAGCCTCGGTGTCTCCAGCAGCAGCACCTCCAGACGCAGCACCCTCAGCCCCAGCAGCTCCAGTACCTCCAGTACGAGCACCTCCGGGACCAGCGACTCCAGCACCTCCAGTAGAAACACCACCAGCACCACTCCTAGCTCCAGGGACGGCAGCAGAAGTACCTCCAGCAGTAGAGCCCCGGGCTCCAGCAGCGCGACCCTGACGGCGACCGTACCAGTCGTGCAGCTGCTGCGAGGTGAGAGGCACACGTGGACGAAGGCGGCTACTCCAAGGAGACCGCGCAACAGCAGACTCTGAACCCTCAGCGCCAGCACCCTCAGCAGCTCCAGCGCCACCAGCACCAGGACCTCCAGCAGCTCCAGAACCTCCAGCGCTCGCACCCTCAGCAGCCCCAGAACCACCAGCTCCAGCACCTCCAGACCCCTCACACGCAGGCTCAGCACCTCCAGGCTCTACACCCTCAAGCTCCGCACCCCCAGGCTCCGCACCCCCAGGCTCAGCACCCCCAGACTCAGCACCCCCAGAAGTAGCACCCCGAGCAGGACCACCCCCAGCAGGACCTGAGTCACCAATTGCGGAGATTCACTCTACTACGGTAGTGAGCTAGACTACGGGGTTGGCACGAACTACTATGAGTGATCGTAGCTTTGCTTGGTTCCTTAGGGCTTGCACATTCGCGTGAGAATTTTGCAAGAGTTTCCACTAGCAAAGATTGAGAATACAGAATAATTCAACAAGCAAGCACAACAATGACTACATCAAGCACCTAGCTACCCTGCAGCTAGCCTGGTCGACCGCCAGCACAGCTCGGTCGACCGCCTGCCAGCGTCGCGTAGAGGAGCCGCGCCAGCACTGCAGAAGAGCGACCTGCCAACACTGCAGGTCGACGGCGTGCCAACGTTGCAGCAATGCGGCTGTCCAGCGTTGCCCTGTAGAAGACAGCAGTGCGCACGCTCGCAGGTGCGCGCAGACGATTGGCCCGACATGCCTTGCTGTGCATCTGTCGGCTGTTGTCTGCGCCTGACGAGCCACATCGACTTTGGGATACCATCCCGAAGTCGCCTTCGCTTTCGCGACCTCGACGACGTTCGCGTGCCTCCGCAAAACTTCGTCGAGAAGGTTACCCGGTCGACCTGGACACCACCAGGTGCCTCCGGTCGACCACCAGATGCTCCGGTCGACCACCAGGTCCCCCTGGTCGACCACAAATCCTTCTGGTCGACCGCAAGGTGCTCCTGGTCGACCGCAGCTCCCGTCGAGCTACCCCATGGTCGACGGACCCCTTCCGTTGACCAGAACTGCTCCGTCGACCTCTCAGTCGAGCAGCAAGGCGACGGGATGCTTTGCGGACCTCCCGGTCGAACTGTAGGTCGACGGGATGCTCCGCAGACCTCCTCGTCGAGCTGTAGGTCGACGGACTGCTCCGTCGACCTCCTGGACGGCCCACCCGTCGCCCAGGCCAGTCAGACACGGCTGTCGAGCTCCCTGGTCGACAGCAACACCACAGCGGTCCCCTGCAGCTCGACGAAGCCTGTCGAGCAGCTCTCCCACCGTGAACGGTCGGCTGCAACTCCCGTACGTCCGACCAAGTCGTCGGCGTCGCCCAAGCGAGGGCGGGGCCAACACTCCACTCCCGTTAACACTCCCCTGCCGCGCTCACGCTTGGGCCCCCCCCCAGCCCACACGGCAGTACTCC